CCTATCTGATCGCCACTCCGTCCACGAGGCTTCCTCGCGAACATATACACCCATCCGATCCTAGTTGGTCATCACCTCCAATCATCATCATGATCATCATCACCATCATCATCATCATCGTCGTCCTCATCACCAGTGCCTTATCCTGTCTAATTGACTGACATGTGAAGCTTTGCTGATTGATGCTTTTGCCCACCCTAGTTACATACACTTGCGTACGTAAAAGTGGTGGTATACTAGAAGGATAGTTATGGGCAGTCAGTCAGTACGTGGACGAGTCGACGGACAGATAGATGGATGGACACTCAACGATGATGTTGATGTTGATGATGATTATGATGATGATGATGATGATGATGATGATGTTAGTGATGATGTCCAGGTGTGGTCCTAACTGCGACCTCCAATTGGGGATGAGACAATTTGAGACCAGATGGCTTTTGAGATGGATAAACGAACGCACAAACGGATAGATGGGTAGACGGACGGATAGACAAGTCAGTGGGCAGGCGATTCAGTAGATGAAATCGTGGGTTGGAGCAGGGGTGCATGTCCGCCAACAACCAGTCAGGACCACCCCAGTTGACTTGATTATTTGTGATAAACATCAACCCACCCTTCTATAGTTCCGCTAACACCTATTCTTAGTATCCTTAACTTCCTTTTTTCATTCCGCTAGTTTCCCTACCCACGCTTGGTCCCGATTATCTGAAATTCCTAATAGGTCACTTCCACGCATTGGCACAAGTACACAGAAACAGGAAAACAAAGTGAACAATTTCATGACGTTTGCACCAACGATTTGGGTGTGGCATGGTCTTCTAGTCTATCACAAATACATCCAATCACCAATCCTCAATCTTCTGTCTAAATTATGAGAACCAAGTGTCCAAACCCAACCAGATCTGAATAGAATACTGTGGAATGAGTGAGAGGGGAGGGGGTAGAGAGAGAGCGTGGAAGTTGTGATTGTGTACATCTACTAGGGTGCATGAACTAAACACGGAATGGGGACGTGATGTGGCATTGCTTTCGGAAACTTATGCTCAGTCGAAGAGTAAAACCGGAAGGCTCAGATCTGAGGAAAACAACAAATCCAACCGGATGTTTTAGTCCGTCCACAGGAAGCCTCCTGTGCGAATTCAGAGTTCAGGTAACCTTATTGTCATTTTTGCACAACAGAGGTCAATCAAGCAGTACAAATGGCAAATACAATTAACTCAAATGAATGATTGCGTCAAACCAAAACAAAATGTTACAGTATAAAGTGAGAAGAGATAAATTTGATTGGCGAGGGAGGAAAATAATAGAACAACGAATGAAAAACCTGCAATGCAACTTCCAGGCACAGATTACTCGTAATGAAATTTAATAAGGAAGTAAAGCTTCTACTATGATCAGTGCATCCTTGATTGTTTCGCTGAGCCTGCAATCGTGCATACACTGTAGTTCAATTAACCATAGATATAAGATCAGATCATGCATGTATACGCTACGAAGTGATGCGAATTCTGTTTTTTTTAATTTCCTCACTGAAAGTGTACGAATAAAGTGGTGTTTGCTTGGAGATCAAAAGATGTTACAGATGAAGAAATCCATGGAAAAGGAAAGCCTAAAATAATTACGAAAGTTTTGGGAACATTGAGTTTGCTTATCACAGGTGGGTTACGCAGCATTAGCAGCGTTCTGCATGTGTGGCTGGTAAGGAATGCTAAGGAACAGTGGTTGTATACTTGGGCTTCATTTCGATTCAAAGCCAAACAGTGTGTTCCTAATGGATTCTGTTCACTGGTCACCCTGTCCGAACTGGCTCATGACAACTGTTGAAAATGAACACGACAAACTCGTGGCGGTTTCCAATAAATTTGACCGGAATTACCTAGGTCACATAAAAATATGTTGAAGTTTGTAATGTCTCACATATTCCCCCACCTCAAATCCGGAGAGGTGACCAACTTTTTTTGTGAATTGGGTTAAAAATTTGGTTCATTTATCCGAATTAATGTCATTATTCAAATTGGACGCATGACAGAGCCCTTATAGGTGAATACCCTCCTTAGTTCAGACAGAACAAGAACAAGATAAAAATCAGCAGATATGGATGCAGTTGTTGATGCAGAACTGGTGAACAGTTTCCGGTTATCATAGCTCTTCCCTTATGCATATTATGAGCGTGGATTTGTTTGCTTGTGGTTGGGTTGGTTAGCATATTTCAGTTAACGATACCCATTGGGGACCAAGGATGGGCTTTTAGATTGACAACTACATATCACTAAATTAAATTGGCGGAAGGGTTTGGGGAATGGTCCCCTTGTAATCACTCAATGGTTGCCGGTCTTCGAAGCCTACCCGCAGCTGACGAAACATTTGCAAGCAAACTGCCAAGCTCAGAGACCAGGCGAAAATGAAAAAAAATGGTAAGACATCATCCACTGAGTCTCCAAATGAGCTTCTCAATCCAATGCAACGTGCAAAATGATCGGTGAGCTTTTTCAGATTTGCAACTTAATCAGATTTATTGCCAAGGAGCATAAATGACTGTCCAACTGTATGTGATCACATGACTCCATCCGTTTTATTGGAAGAAACTTACTGAGAAGATACGTGACTATGTTATTTGAGTACCTCGATTGATAGTGGATTTATTCGTATACTTTCAGGTTGAACGTTTATAGGCTTGCATAAACAAGCCTTCAGTACGGTGCAAAGGATGCAATATAAGCTAACCGGCGAAGATAAAACAGAGAAAACCTTGAGTACATAGTGCGCAAAACTGAGACAAAAGTGAAATGTGCGCGGGGATTGGCTCATGAAACTCACCTTCTGAAATGGAAAACTGAGCAGGCAGAAAATATTTGTTGGACGAATCAAATTACATGATTTTGTACTGCATTTTCTGATCAGAACTTGTGAAGGGTGGGAAACCTCTTAAAACTGGTAGCCGGTCAAGATTCAACTTAAATAATCTCTGGGAAAACTTTTGACTGAATCTTAAATGTGGCAGTTCTAATTTATGAGTTATGTTAAGCAAAATCTTTCTTAAATTATACATATATTTAGACCCGTGGACCGTTATTCAGATTTTAGGTTTGATTGCCTCGGAAAATTCTTGCATAAAAGTGAAATAACAGAGGTGGAATAGTTCCCTTTTGGAAAACACGGAACCTTTATCGCGCAGCCACTAAAGCAACATTTAGTTCATCTGGCTGCGCACCCCTTGCCTGTTTGGCTTCTAGTCTGTGTGCAGACGCGGACACCTCTCAACGGGTTGGCATATTTCAGTCACAGTTGATTAGTTATGATATGTCGGTTCGTGGGGCTGTTAAAATCACTTGATTGAATCGCGAGCGCTACCGGAGGACACCATCGTTGCACAAGTGTGAACTGGAACAGCATGCACGCGGTCGACGTCATTCGATCGCGCTGAATGTGGTGGTGGGACAGTGTGGTCGAGTGCTTACAGAGACAGACGAACAAATCCCCTTGTCAATATGAGAGAGATTAATTCCGTTAAAATGAAGCATGCAACCGCGCACGGGTATGTTTACAGGCATCTGTGTGTGTGTTAGACCGTCGTGACTGTTTGAAGTGCGAAGGCCAAAAAGCTGAAGTCAGAGACGAATTTGACAGAGATTTAAACTGCTATAGTTGGCGTACTTTTTTGGTACGCTCGATGTGAGATGACTTTGTTCAGGAAAGAAAAAGGCCATCATATCCATTGAATGTTTATTTTAGTTCTGTTTATGAAACTGAAATCGCTTTGCTTCATTCTTGTGTTTTTATGACGCGATACATAGCAATTGACAAAGCTTGTTCAGTAGATACTTTTTGTAATGAAAGGGTTTACGTCACTTTGAATGGAACAGTTTCTGGCCAATAAAACTATTGACCTTTTACAGTGTTGTCAAGTTTCGTTTGCTGTCCTTTAGCGAGCCATGTCAAAAAACGGTGTGCAAAATGTGAAGCGGTACTTACATACAAGAGTGACTAATTACAATGATGCCACGGATTATACAGCACAGGGATGACGCATTTTGTGCGTTAGTCGAACAGAGAAATTAACTTGTAAATGTTGAATAATCAGCAGCCAATGTGATATATTTATTGTCAGTAGGTCGACCACAGAAATCTTCAAGTGAGTGTAAGCTCAGTCACGCCAAACCCCATCCACCGCAGCTCAGTAGTCTAACCTGATTTGTGTGGCTCATTCTCTGGAATAGGATAATTTC